TTGATGATAAAAAAAAAATTTAAATGCATGTATATTTTTCTCTTTTAATTAAATGCTTTAATTTTGTTATATTAGCACCATTAGCCACCAGCTCTTGTATAGAGGCTAATAATGGTGCTAATAAGCAAAATTAAAGCATTTAATTAAGATAAGAATATGAAAAATCATATAACCACACAGTTTCTTCGGTTGACAATACGCGGTTGACCCACTCCCCATATGAAACAAGGCTCCATTTTAATTAAAATGGAAGTGGCTTACAGAATCGATCATTTGCTTTGTGAATCGATCACCTCCAATTGATTAGCCACATGTCGTCTTCTTCGTCTTCTACGTCCTCCAAATTCAAATACGACGTGTTCATAACTTTGAGAGATCCCAACGGTTGTGTAAAAGTCTATGTTGAAAACAAATTGAGAGATTCTGGACTCAGAGCTTTCGTTGAGGATGAAGAAGAAGGGTTTTCTGTACTTGAGACCACGCTAGTGTCAAGATTTGTTATGGTTTTGATCACTCCGGAGTTTCTCGAGTCTGAAAAGTGTCTTGAGAGACTGAAGCTCAGAATCAGTTGGTGGCCAAACAGCTTGTTGCCTGTGTACTGTGGAGTGAGCCGCGAGAAGGTACATGAAAAGATGGTGGCTTTGTTTCCGACGTCTGACTTCGCCGGAGTTGCTTCCCTCCCTGCTGGCTTCAAACTCTCCGGTGATTTCTGGTAATAAATCATCTCGTTTTTGCTTCTCCATCTCGGGCCTGCTTGTTTCCCAGATGGGGGTTTTGTCGAATACTTTTTCCCTTAATCTGTTTTTTTTCCTTTTTCACATACTCGTGAACCAAGATATTTTTACTTAGGGGTATTTTGATTCTAACAAAAACATTTTTAAAAGAGTGCTTTCATACAAAACTCTTCTCACATATTTATTTCGTATAAATCATTTTTAAAATTATGGTTTAACTTTTATCTAAATGCCCTTAGTGGTTATAATTAACTTTTTTTTAGGGAGAATTATAGTGAGGTTTTAAAAAGGAAAAATAATTATTAAAAAGTTCTAATATCAACCTAAGTAACCTGTAATGATATGTTTCAGAGTAGAAAATGACAACTTGTAGAACTTATTTTGTAATTATTTTTTTTAAAACCTCTTTGTAATTCTCCCAACTAAAAACTGTTGCATGGCAAAAGAAAATATCTGTTGGTTTAGTTTTTGCATTTCTCCTTACAAAATCGTAAACTTCAAGAGATATGTTATTATTTATCAAAAATTTTTAAGAGATATTCCCTTTATTTCATTTTACAAGAAACAATTGGTGAGATTATGTTCAAAAAAATAGTTAAAATTAGTTATATTTAATAAATATGTAAAAACCATATATTTTTTAAAATACTTTTATTTATAGAGTAGAGAGTATAAGGAAGAAAATAAGAAAATTATTAAAATGAAGAGAATTGTGAAAAAAAGACAATGTGTGGTGGAAAGAATGCTCCAAAACCATGTGATAACAAATATATTGTTATTAAAATGAATAATTAAATAGAGAGAAAAATAAAAAATTAACAAAGAAAATTTAATATATCCTCTAAATATTTTTATAAATAGAAATAAGCCAAAGATGGTATTTTTTTTTATAAAAAAGAGGGGGAAATATCTTATTATTTTATATATTTATTGTTCCTTGACACATAACACTGTCGTTTTAATCTAATGTTACCTGGCCAAATGTGACAGGAATAGAATCAGTAGCCACATGGCGAACTTAGGTCTTTTCATGTTGCATGATGAGTCACTTCGTGATATTCCACCCCATCAAGTGGGGTTACCACTTCGAGTGAGAAAACTGCTTAAAATTTTGGGGTGGAGATACATTTTATCGGATGATACAATCATAGTCGGAATCTGGGGAGATGGAGGCATTGGTAAAACTACGATTGCCAAAGCTATTTATGATAGAATTGGTGCCAATTTTGAAGGTAAGAGTTTCCTTTCAAATATCAAAGATGTATGGAAGGAAGATAATGGTGAAGTTCTTCTCAAAAAACAACTTATTTCAGATATTAATTCTGAAACTAAATTTGATGATGATACAAATAATGTTATTGCGATGCATGAACAAATAAAACAAGTACTTTGTGGAAGAAGAGTTTTAATAGTTCTTGATAATGTACATAGTGAATCTCAACTGGATGAATTGTTCGGAAATGTGAAGTGGTGTGGTAAAGGGAGCTTAATATTGATTACAGCGAGAAACAAAGCTATTTTTGATGCCTTTGTTGACATATCATATGAAATGAAAAGGTTAAACAGTGTGGAGTCTCTTGTTCTTTTCGCTTGCACGCATTTAAGAACTTTGGTCCAACAAAGATCTTAGGCCTTTTTTTGACCAAATCATTGAATTCTGTGAAGGACTACCATTGGCTCTTGAAGTTTTTGGCTCTTTTTTGCAAGATAGGCCAAAAGAAGAGTGGGAAAAAATAATGAACAACATAACAGGGATTCCTTATGATTCAATGCAAGAGAAGCTCAAAATTAGGTGTGACTTATTAACTGATATAGAAAAAGATTTATTTTTTAATATAGCTTGGTTTTATGTGGGACACAATAAAAGCTACGTTACACAATTGCTAAAATGTTCAAGACTTCCAGTAGAAAAGAGAATGTCAGTAATCATTGAGGGTAACCTTGTAAAGGTCATCAACGAAAAGCTTTATGTTCATGATTTGCTGCAAGACATTGGAAGGGAAATTAGTCCTAGTAAGCCAAAGCTTAGATACAGCTATGATGTATTCTTAAGTTTTAGAGGTGATGATACTCGTAAATCATTTACTTCTCATCTTTGTACTGCTTTAAAGCAAGCGAGTGTAGAGGTTTACATGGATGAAGAAAGAATTGAAAGGGGAGAAAATATTTCATCTTCACTATTGGAAGCAATTGAAAGTTCGAGAATCTCAATCATTATTTTCTCTAAGAATTATGCTGGCTCTAGTTGGTGCTTACAAGAATTAGAGAAAATCATGGAGTGTTCCAAAACAACTTATCAAGAGGTTCTACCTATATTTTTTTGATGTGCGGCCTTTTGAAGTTCGAAAACAACAAAATGCCTTTGGAAAAGCATGGGAAAGACTCATCAAGAGAACTTCAAGTAGCAAAATGAAGAAATTGACAATCAATTTAAAAAGAGCCCTCACAGAAGTTGCCAATTTATCTGGGTGGGACATACATAACTACAGGTATTTCAAGTTTTCTTTTACTCATTACTCTTGGTAATGGTTAAATTGCTCAAGTTCCTTTTCACTTTTATAGCAAGTTTGAGTTCCTTTTGGTGATCCAAGTTTCATTACAAAAAGTCTCGTATTATACGCATGAGCCTGCAGAGAGAACTATGTGATTTCAACACGGGAATTATAAGCCACCATGATAAAGTTGCTTTTACTCAGATCTCTAATTAGAAACCATAAGAGCATTTTATAGAACAATGCAGGGAAAATTAGTGATTAGCACATCACAAGCATTAGTATAATTTTCTCATAGATTCAAATGCCTTTATAAAAAGTTTAATTTTATACTCATACATCAGGTGGAATTGCAATCAACATTTATAGTTAGGTAATCTGACAACAATCGATTATGAAGAAAAATTGAAATAAAGTAGAAGTAACACAAGATTTACATAATCCGCTGAGTTTCTTATATGTTAATTGACATTGATAATTAGCCAATCATAGGGTCTTGCAAATATGCCGATTTATCCTTTTTATTCAAATGCTTGTTTTTAGTTTAAATATATTTTGAGCAATTAAATATTCTTTTAATTGTAGAGGTAAAATCAAATTTGCTGAAATTTGGTTCATATCAGACTAAGAATATTTTCTAATTGAAGTTATATAGAACATTTCACCATCGTCTTGTTTTGGCTGCTCTACAAGCCTATCATTTTGGTTGCTATTATAGTGTGTACCACCTACTCTAAGGATTCTTGGTATAATTTATTCTTATATCTCTTCTTAATGTTGCTAGAACTGAAACTGAGCTCATTGATGAAGTAATTGAAACTATTACAAAGAAGTTAGGTGATGACAAATGCCTATTTGTTGCTCACCATCCAGTGGGATTGAAGTCTCGTATGCAGGATATCCTCCAATTGCTACAAAGTAAATCAAATGATGTTATCATCATAGGGATTTGGGGCATGGGGGGATTGGTAAGACAACAATTGCTAAAGCCATCTAAAATCAAGTTGGTCAAAGTTTTGAAGCAAAATGTTTCTTGGCAAATGTTAGAGAAATTTGGAAGCAAGATAATGGTCAAGTTTATTTGCAAGAGCAGCTTCTTTCAGACATTTTAAAATTAAGAAGAAGGGCACTACCAAATGCGGAAATGGGAAAAACTCTACTTGAGAAAATGCTTTGCAAGAAAAGAGTATTTACTGTACTTGATGATGTCAATAATGAGGATCAACTCCAAACATTATATGGAAGTCGAGAATGGTTTGGTCAAGGTAGTAGAATCATCATTACAACTAGAGATGAACGTTTGCTCAAGATCCTTAGAGTAACTGATGTATACACTATGAAAGAATTGGATGGTAATGAATCTCTTGAACTTTTCAGTTGGCATGCATTTAAGCAAGCAATCCCTGAACAAGATTTCACTGAACTTTCAAGAAAGGTAGTTTCTTACTCTGGAGGATTACCACTAGCTCTTGAAATTCTTGGCTCCTATTTTTTTGATAGAGACATGTTGACTTGGAAAAGTGTTTTGGAGAAATTACAACAAATTATTCATGAAAAGCTTAGAATAAGCTATGATGGTTTGAGTGATGACACAGAGAAAGAAATATTTCTTGACATATGTTGTTTCTTTGTTGGGAGGGACAAAATCTGTGTGACACAAATATTAAATGGTTATGGACTTCATGCAAATATCGGAATTCATCGTTTGATAGAGTGAGGCCTTGTGAGAGTTGGCAACAAAAATAAGTTTGAAATGCATGATTTATTGCGTGACATGGGAAGAGAAATCATTCGTGAACAGTCACCAGAGAAGCCTGAGAAACGTAATAGATTATGGCTTTACAATGATGTGTTGGAAGTATTGAGCAATGAAACTATAAGAATATTTCTCAATAACTTAATTCAATTGCTTTCCTATTTTTCTTTATTATTCAGTCTAGTATACTCCTTATATCATTTTTTGTTGCCAAATATGGACTTAAACCTTTATCTAGATGACTTAATCACTATAAGATTTTGTTTTTGTTTTCCATTACTTCTTCTTTTTTTTTTTATAGGGAACAATATCTATCAAAGGACTAGCTTTAAATATATCAAGGAACAACTCATTATACTTGAATGCTAGAACGTTTAAGAAGATGAAGAGGCTTCGCTTGCTTCAACTTGATAATGTACAACTTACAGGAGACTATAGTCATTTATCAACAAATTTAAGATGGCTTTGTTGGCATGGGTTCCCCTTAGAAAGCTTGCCAGTGAACTTCAATCTAGAAAATATAATTGCCATTGACTTAAAGTGGAGTAATCTTGTGAAAGTATGGGAGAAAAGTCAGGTACTTACAATGAGTTCTTGGAATCAAATATTAATGATAATATTTGTATTTGTTTATGTTTATTTATTCCTTTTTGTTTATTATTTATTTAATTTAAACTTTTCTCTTTGCACAGTTGCTAGAGGGGTTGAAAAGTCTCAATCTTAGTCATTCTCATTACTTGACAAAAACACCTGACTTTTCAAAGACACCATATCTTGAAAAGTTAATACTTAAGGATTGTCTGCATTTGTCTGTAATTCACTCTTCTATTAGTGACCTTAACTATATTGTTCTATTAAATTTAAAAGACTGCAAAGGCCTCAACCACCTCCCAAGAAGTGTATATAACTTGAAATCTTTGAAGACTCTTAATCTCTGTGGTTGCTCAAAGATTGAAAAGATAGAAGAAGACATTGAGCAAATGAAATCTTTAACAACTTTGGTGGCAAATCAAACTGCTATAACTCAAGTTCCTTTCTCATTGCTAAGGTTGAAAAGCATTAAATATGTGTCCCTATGTGGTTATGAAGGTTTATCACGTGAAGTATTTTCATCTCTTGTATTGTCTTGGATTTCACCGACATATAATTCAAAGACATTGTTGCGACCATTTTGGACCATGTCATCTTTTATTGAGAGTCTATCAAATCTTTTATTTTCAAGAAGATATGAAACATTAGAAGCAAGGCCAAGCACATCTCAAGCTTCATGTCAAAATACTCCACAATTACTTGAATATCATGAGCAAATTCACATGGAAAGTTCATCAGAAACATTGATGAGTTCTCTGACTATTCAAGTAGGGTGGTGCAATAAAATTATGGATATCCTTCTAAAGAGTATTTCAAAGGTGTTTCTCTTTATCTTAATTCTTTAGTACCACATATGCATAATCTTTTCAATATGGGCAAAACAACTTTCTTTTTGCCATACATGTTTAAATAGCTATCAGAAGTAAATGTTTTTAAGAGTCAAAGGTAGAATAATGTAAAATGTGCTTTTATTAGCATCATATCCATGTAGTACTAATGCTAGATCATACTTTTGGCAATATCTTGTTTTTATGTGTGTAAATGTGCAACAGAATCATGGATATATATGTAAGGAGAATTTCAAAGGTGTTTTCCTTTGTTTTATTTCTTTGCCACCACATACAAAACAACTTTTTGTCATACATGTTTAAATATCTATCAAGTAAGTATTTATCAATATTTTATCAATATCATATCTATGTAATAAGGGTTGATCATACTTTAGATTGTATGTGGCATAACAAACACTATATATATATATTAACCATTTATGCCAATGACAAACATACTTCCTAAATATGGAACATTGAAGTTTTTTATTAGTTTAGATTGTCATTTTTCCTTTGTTCTCTCTCAAATGGGGTGACTCTTTTCTTGTTTTCATGGAATAGGGATGGAATGATGGTAGGCTTGACTTTTCTCTTCCAATAGACAATTATCCAGATTGGCTAGTTTTTGTAAATGAATTATCTTCAGTATCATTTAAAGTTCCTCACCTTGTTGGCCATCGCTTAAAAGGAGTGGTCCTCAATATTATCTATTCCTCTCTTCAAGATAGCATGGCATCTGTACCTTCTGTTGGTATTATGATAAAGAATTTCACAAAGGCTACCATGTATTTCTATGAACGAAAAGTTGCAACCACTTCTACTGATGATGAATGGCAAAACATAGTATCTAATTTGGAGCCTGGAAATGAGGTGGAAGTTGAAATTAAGTTTGCATATAAATATATTGTGATCAAGAAGACTACAATCTATCTACTATATGTTCAAGAAGCTAACAAGCTGATCACATCTGAATAACATTAAAGCATAAAGAAAAGGTGCATTTGTTTTCTTTTAGTTAATTGGAATTGTCATGACATGGGATTCTCTTTTACTCATGTTTAATTATATTGTTTTCTTTTTAGGTAGTATGAAGGATAATGCTTCAAGCTCAAGGCTTCACTTAAATAAAAAGTAAGTGTTCTACCAAAAACATAAAAGTGAAGATTGATAGGTTGAATGCTTCCTGATTTGTGCTTTTCACTATTTATTTGTTGTGAAAAGCAAAGAAACACACATCCTATCCACTTCTATCCCTTGTATCACATATAATAATCTCTTTATCACCTACATCATAATATGTTGCTGACCTAATATTGCAATGGTGATATTCTGGTGACCAATTTTGCTGCCTTAAATCAAGCTTTTTGTTTGAAAATGTTTGGAGATGATCATGTTCTATAGGTGAATTTTCTTTAAAGAGAATCACTACCATCAATCCGCCACGCTTTAACAGAAACTTGTTTTTTGGCTGGTTAAAAGACCAAGCAACTTGAATGATGGTAGTGGAAATTATAGCCTAAAGTGAAGCATTTCCTCTAGCATGCTTGTCACAGTATAGTCTTCCACCACGATAGACAACTAGTGTAGACGCAAATTCACTCAATGATGGCTGAGGTGTGGAAACTCTTGAACATTATTTTCTCTTATGTAACCTGATGACTTGGTGCGGTAATCATCTAGGGATTGTGATCTTCGACGTTTCGGTGTATTTAGAAATCACCATGTTCTACACTTAATGATCATAAAGCAATTGGCTTCATGTAGAATTTATGTGCAGACAATGATGGTTTGAATGATTTATTGATAACTTCCTATATCTAAGTGATTTGAGAGCTATTTTATGGTGAATTTAGAGAGTTATCTAACTTTTTAGGTCTATTTTATTGAAAACAGTGATGTTTAGAGCATTTTTCTAGCAGTTTATATTGTGTTTGTGTGACTTTAGGTGATCCTTGAGCAGGTACAAATGGAACAAGAAGACTTACGGATAGTTAAGTTCTGTGTTTCCTTTTAAGAGGAGTACTGTAGATGCTAAGTGGTCCCTTTTCCCAAGTTGTGAGTGACAAACTCAATTATTTTTATATATTTTGGTATCTTTTATATGAGTTTTGTCAGCTTAATTGGTCCCTTTTTTGCCTTAATTTATTTTGTTTTATTTTGAATTATTATTTTATAGGGGCAAAATTGTCATGTTTTGATTTAATTATGATTAATTGATTTTTAAAGACAATTAATGCTACCTTATCCTTGAATTTTGCTTGCAGGTTCTTGGAAGATTCAAAATAAAAAAAAAAAAAAAATAAAGAAAAAAAAGAAAAAAAATAAATTAAAGAAAAAAAATATAATAATAAGTTGGGGGCAAAACGCAACGTTTTGCCCCAACCTAATATTCCTAATATTAATCATCATCAGCACGCAGCGGGGGAGAGCGCGAACACACACGAAACAGAGGCCGAAGGAGACAGAACGAAAACAGAGCAGGCGGCCGAACGAAAACGGAGATAACGAACACGCCGGACGAAACAGAGCAAGCTGGCCGAGTGAGCTTGGCGGCGCGCGAGGAGACCATTCATCATCTTCTCCGTTGAATCTTTCTGTGGCGGAGAGAATCAACGTGGGGCGACGTGAGGCGAGACGAGCTGGACGAATTGACGGCGTGAGGACCTTGTAGTAAAACAGAGCTGGGACGGCGGCTGAGAGAAGAAAGAAGAACCAGTGACGGCAAGACCAGAAGCGTGAACAGGACCTTCATCACCACCGTCTTCTTCACTGCCATGGCCGACCGTATGAGGAAACTTATTGAAGTAGATTCTGAAATTATGCGTGGCTAGAGCTGAATAATCCTCCAATTCAACAATAATGGCAGGAGCTTGGATCATCAAAGGGGAGTTTTAGTTGCTTTAATTTCCTGTCTAATAATTGTTTAACAATTCCTAGGTCTTAGGATAGTTTTTTGATTATTAGAAAATTTTGTATTGTTAATCTGATTATTGTGGAGATTATTGTGACTGGATTATTGTTTAGCATTTGACATTGGGCTGTTTATAGCTTTGATTTCAATTATAATGTTGTGGTTATGACATTTGTATTGATTTTGGAGTTAATATATTGTGATTTTCTAAGGTGGCTTAGAATTTTGGATCATATAGTCTCTTGCTAGCTTTAATTCTGTTATTTTGGATTTAAGAGTTCTAATTAAGCATTGGTTTTTAGCATCCTTAATCCCATTTTACTATTCTGGTTGCAGTTAGTAAGTTGGGATTTTAGGAAAATATTTTGTGGCAACTCGAGGTGGCTCGGTTGTTGGATCAAAAGCTTAATTATAATTCTTAATTCATTGTTTTTAACTCCCACATCTTTTAGAGTGATGATTGCCTGCGTTGTTGAATTGGAGGATTGATTTTTATCAGTGTTAGTTGATTTTTTATCATGTATTTGTGTGTCTCATTTTCATTTCTTTAATCTTCATTCATTTTAATCACTTTTATATAAAAACAAAAAAAAAGTATTTTAATTTCAATTTGATTCAAGTATTTAATTAGCAATTTTTCAAATCAAATCAAAAATCCTTTTTATAGTTTAGGTTACTTGCATTTATTTACTAGGATTTAATTTCGTTTTCGGCTCCTCAAAGTGAAACGACCCGGATTGTGCACTATATTGCATTAATTCGGTTAATTTTTGGAGTAACCCCAAAGCGACAATTAAGGGCAGTTAAACTTCAAGTGGCGCCGTTGCCGGGGAGCCAAGAAATTGGTTCCCTAGTAATTAAGTGTCAAGTAGCCTTGATTGGGGTTCATTTGTTGAGCCTTTTTAGTTTTCATTTTTGTTAGTTTTTGCATTTTCTTTAGTAGTTTGCATTTGTTTCTTTTGATTTTTCATAGCATTTTTTTTTCTTCCTTTGCATAAAAAAAATTTTCAAAAATACAACTAAATATCTTCATTTTTCATTCATTGCATTGCATTCATCTGTTTTCTTTTGCTTAATTGCTTCTGGTTGATTGATTGTTTATGCCAAGAAAGGGTAGGTCTAAAACCCTAGTTCCTTCCAATCTTGAGCTTCAAAGTTCTTTAAGAGAAGTTAGACAAGACCAAGGGTAGAAAGGACTAGTGAGGTTGAACTAGACAATTTAACTGATCTAGATTTGGTGGTTGACTTAGGTGACATAATGGAAACAGTTAATAATCCTAATGGTAACAACAATGGTGGTAATGAGAGAGGGGGCAATGGACATAATGGGGAGCATGAGAGTAGGAGAGAATAATGGAGATAACCCTAGAAGAAGAACTATTAGGGAAGCCACTACTTCTGATGCAAATTATGATCCTTTTAATGTTGCATGCCCTAATGTTGATGTTAATTTTGAGATTAAAGGTCCACTGCTTAATAATTTGCCTAAATTTTATGGTTTGACAGGTGAGGACCCGTACAAACATCTGAAATCTCTCTCTATGGTATGTGCTAGCATGAAGCCGGTTGGGGCTAATCTGGATGAGGTTCTTTGGAAGGTATTCCACTTGTCTCTGGAGGGCAAAGCGCGAGAATGGTACATGAGCTTGCCTAGTTATATGGCAGATGCCTACCATAACTGGAACAACCTCAGAAAAGCATTCTTGGAGAAGTATTTCCCTGCTTCCCGGACTTCTACATTGAGAAAAGAGATCTACTCTGCAAAGCAAGATTATGATGAGTCACTTTATGACTACTGGAACCGTTTTCAGGACTTGCTTTCTAGATGTCCACACCATCAGATTCCAGATGAGCAGTTAGTCCAATACTTTTATGATGGACTTAAGACCCAAGATAAGGGGATGTTGGATGCTGCTTCTGGGGGTTCTCTTATTGATTTAACTGCTGAGGAGGCATGGGAACTTATCAAGAAAATGGCATTGAACCATCAACAGTATAGCATCAGGGAGTCTAAAAATGTCAATGCAATGCATGCTAATCCTTCTTCAGTCCACATTCCTCAATTGGACACATTCACTTCTCAAATTGCTGCTTTGACTACACAGTTGAATAAGCTTGCATCTCACACTCCCCCTGTTGACACTCGGACTCCTAATTCTATGGAGATGACTGCACCTAGTTGTGAGCATTGTAACTCTGTTATGCACATCTCTGCTGCTTGCCCTCATAGATATGAGGAAGTTTCTGCCATGTATCAAGGAAGGGCCAATCAATCTAAGCAATGGAACCCATACTCAAACACATATAATGAAGGATGGAAAGCTCATCCAAATTTCCGATGGGGAGGAGGTGACAATAGGCAGGTTCAAGAAGGGTTTCAAGGGAATATGGTTCCTCAAGGGCAATCTTACTATGGAGGGTTACAAGGAGAATCTTCTAGAGCCATGTCTACCCCACAGCAATCACAGTCTAAGGATGATGAGCGGTTCTCTCGAATACTCAAGGGCATTGAGGCAATGACTGAGCACATATCTAAGTCTGAAGCTAAATCTGAAGCTAGATTTGCAGCCCTAGAGAATAGGATGGAGCAATGGGAAACTAGAACCTCTAATTTGACTTCTTATGTCACTAAGTTGTCAAATGGTGTGAGTGAACAGCAAGCTAAGGCTAGTGGTTCAATGCCTTCCAACACGGTGATAAATCCTAAATCTTTGAATGCAATTACATTGAGAAGCGGTAAGGAAATTGGTGCTAAGAAGTGCAATTCAAAGATGATGAAGAGGTGAAGAACCGGTTGATGAAGAGATAGAAGTTGAGTCTCCTCCTTCTAAAACCACTCAAGACATTCCCAAGGCCACTCAAGAGACCTCCATTCAATCCAAAGAGCCAATAGAGAAAGGATCATCTTCCAAAGGTGATGAGGTAAATATTTCTGACTTGCCTTTTCCTCATTCATATCTCATGAGTAAGAAAGTTGTTGAAAAGAAAGATAATGATGAGCTTTTTGAAATGTTTAGCAAACTTGAGGTTAATGTGCCATTACTTGATTTGATTAAGAAGATGC